GGAGGAGTTTCAGGAGTGGTCCTTCTGTTAAAATTTCATGGCTCCATTTATCTGGTTTTAGGAGAAAGGGGGTATGTATCTTCAGAGGAGTTATGCTTTTTTAACTCAGCAGATTAACTCATTATGAATAGTTAATGCAACCACAATTAAATCCAAAAGCACCTCTAAACCAATCATTTTAGATCAGGGGTGTCAAACTCAACCAGTAAAAGGGCCATATTAAAAAATCTCATCAAATCTGTGAGCCAGAGAAAAAAAAATGTTTTTGTTTTTGTTTTTTTTGTTTTTTTTTTAATTAATGTTGTGCTATAACCTGAACTGGCCATTTTATCCAAAATGTGCAAAAACTTCAGCATTAAAATATAGGCACTTATAGTCGACCTCGAAATATTACATGAATACTTTAAATATTCAAAATTTAAATGTTTCCAAGAGCTCAGTCTTTTAAACCTACCTATTTTCTTCAACTAGACACCTGACATCCTGTCTTTGCTGCAAGTTCATTAATACTTGGGCTCAGTTTCTGAGCTGCTAAGTCAACGTTAGGTGTTTATAGTGGTTGAACTGCAGCTTAAATGCAGCTAGTGTGTTTGGTGATATGACTGGTGTGAAATTGTGTAGAATTGTTTAGAACTGAGGTGAAACCACTGTACCATAGACTGTTGTTGGGGTAGGAGAGTTGGAGCACATTATTGTTGCAGTGCATGCTGGGGATTGTAGTGTAGCCCAGTGTTTCTCAACCTGTGGGCCGCAGACCACCAGTGGGTCATGAAACACCCTTTAGTGGTCCGCAGGTTTGTACAGTGGGAGGCAGTAGTTCGTACTGGGCCATTTTGTAAAGTGGAAAAAAACTGACTTAATAATTACAAATCAAGAAGTCAATCATTTTCAAATGATAATGAATATAAATATTACATAACACGGAAATTGATGATCTGATCTTTTTCGGTCCCTGATTCTCAGGTGTCAGCACTTAAGACAAGAAACAGAAAATTATATTTAGTTTCTGTGGGCCGCTATTCTTTGTAGTTATAAACAGATTGGCCTTGAGGTGGAAAAGGTTGAGAACCCCAGGTGTAGCACATTGTGAAACGGGCTAATATTAAAAGAAAATTAAAATACTTTTGCGGGCCAGATAGGATTGTGAGGCGGGCCTGATCTGGCCTGCGGACCTTGTGTTTGACACATGGGTTTTAGATGATACTTTTTAGGTAATCTAAAAGATTGCCCTTTTGATTAACTCTGTACTGTCTTAATAGGCCCATTTCATGGACAACTGAATTTCCTCACTATTTTGAAAATAAAAGAGTTTGATGTAGTTTGTAAACATTATTAAAATTTCAAAACGTACCATTCACTCAACAATCCATACAGTCCTTATCTGGAGACTAAGCTTCCACAACAGTCCATTCTAAATTAGCTGTTCTTGTGATGTCATCAGTTTAGCGCTGCCCATTCATATATCAGTCTTCAAGAGATGGTACTAATAACAGCCTGTTTATTTATGAGGATAAACAGAGGCTTAAAATGTGAGCATATATTACGACTGACAAAAAAAATAGGGTTCAGAGCTAAAAATAAAATGTAATAAAAATGTATATACGGGCCCTTTATGTAATCCAACAATGGAAAAATGTAAAGTAATAGCTTACATGTCCTTTAGTCCTTTATTTACTGTATACCAAGACCCCCCACTCCCCTCCAACCCACACCAAACCTGAACATTCTGATCATTCCCTACTGACCACACCCTTCCATAAGTTCACTGACCATTAATTCCACTTCAAATAAAATCAGTGCTGCAGTCCGTGAATCCCCTTCTTCCTCCAGACCACCACATCACAAAGTCCAGACCCTCCAGTCACGGTCATTGCAAAACCATGTCTCAGCTTTAACATTTCATCTGCTACTCCAACTCTCCCCCCCTTTAAAGATCCCCACTTTCTGCACTGAGATGAGACCAATGGCTCCCTTAATTTAAGTGGCAAGTTTGAACGAAGTGTCCAGTACGAGTGGACTGTGCCGGAGTTACAAAAAGCAGCCTCCCCGCCTTCAAAGGCCAGGCAGCCTGAATCTGGGACAGAGATTAAGCGCTGTCACTCTGAGATATAGCGGGGCTTTTCTTTCTGAGTAATAGGGTGGAGAGGCTCACTAATTTACACAGCACTGGGGGCCAAGCAAATTGTTCGAGGAAGAATAGAGCTAGACGTCCACAGCTAGGGCTCCACATCAAGATGAAATATAATCAGATAGCTGAACATTCCTAAGGTACAGGTTTAATGCAAAGTATGTGCTTTTGAAGAGATCCGTTTGTTGCGCTCGCGGAATGCTAGAGCTGATTTAACTCTTCTGCAACTTCTTCTCCGGGGTGCTTGCAAAGTCAAGCGTACTACAACTAAAGTCTTCTAAAAGTTAGAAAAACAACACAAAAATAGAAGCACATCTCTTTTTTTTCCCTCTTTGCTCTTTTGTCTTGCTTTGCTTCTTGTCCCAGAGCAGCTGAGGAATCCGAAAGAATTCGACCTGAGATAAGGAAAACGGGTTATGATAGATCAGCCATATTTTTTTCCTTCATTAGCCCTGTTATTATAATCCTGCGCTTCTTAAGCTCATCATATGATTGCTGGCAGATGGAGTGAGGGCGGTAGGACGTTCAGAAGTTATACTAGGTCAGGGTGTTTTAAAGGGGAACGCCACCCAAACATTGCTTTCAGTCTAGGCGTGCAATAGAAATGGGCAAAATTCACCTTTAGTCAAATAACTAGAAATGAAATTTAGTCTTAGCATGAAGGTACAGGCAGTGACGTAAAACACTACATGTAACAAAATACTAAAAAAGGCCAAAAATGTGGACAAATATAGGGAGAATGGGGTAGGTCGGCACAGTTTTCACTAGCTGCTGTATATCCCAGGCATAAGTTTGAACCCTTCTGGTCAAATTGCATGTTTTGTTGATTTTGATGGTGAAATAAAGCTGAATCATCCTCTACAGACTTAAATATGGAAATTTCCTGCAAATTTCAGTTCACAATGTCTTTTTATTTATCATATTGGATATTATATAAAATGCGCCATAACTTTTGCACAGGCCACATTTTATGTTAGATTCCAGCCCCCCCAATATGAACAGTAATTGTGCATTAAAATGTGTAGTAGTGCGTTCTCCGTATGGGATGTTTTCACTTATTTTCACTTCAAATCAGCAAAACCTATTATTTGACAAGGGGCGCCTAAACTTTTGCATACAACTGTATCCCCAGCTTAACGGATTGTAACATTCAGAGCTCTTGAAAAATGAATGAATGTTAATCAGTAGAGCAGTTTTATTTTTTTAATATTTTTGTGAGTTCCCTCTACTCACCTGGCTTTGGTTGGCACAATTAACAATGAGCCAACCAACCCCGTCCTCCCCTATTATAATGTATTTTTGAATGAACGTATGGTGTTAACATCATTGTGTTGTTATACCTTCACAGACACTCTTAGGCATCGCTATCAGGTCCAACATTCAACCACTGCAGATGTTTATAGGAAATTAAAGCTACAACAAAGTTGCTCAGTCTGATTATAGTGAGCATATAAATTTGTACTTGTAGACACATTAATAATCGCTGAAATGACTGACCGCAGCTGTGCTGAATATTAGATTTGTCAAAAATCTGACTGCCTATCTAACCCTTAGACGAGGATTATGGATTAGGAAAAAATTCATTGTGCGATTAGCAATAATCCTTAGTTGAGTAAAACCCAAAGCAAACCAGACTTTTTTGCTGATGTCAACAGTTTAATTACAAAAAGGAAAGATTATCGGTAACGTACTGTATATACTCATATTACACAGATAAAACACGCAGTTTAAGAAAAACAAAAACAAAACGACTCCATTCGAGTAGTTTTCACATTTCCTGTTTTTGCTAATGTGAGTCACATTTTCCGTTAAAAGAAAAAAAAGAGAAAGAAAGAAAAAAAGAAAAAATCTTTTTCTTATTCCAGCGGTGGACTGACAGTAATATTTACAACTTGACCACAAACCATAGTCACATAGCCAGTGTGACCTACTCATAATTTAACCGTTTATGGTTAAAGAGAGAGGCTATTTACAAACGGCACAGACAAGAACTTAAGGGAGTAAACCTTCATCATAGGTCTAGTCATACCGACACTATGGCGCAGAGCTGAACTACAATATAATGAAGAGGGCTGCTGGATATGTGGTTTAATAAACAGAGAAATGCTCATTCCATTGAGAGATTTAATTTACAAACAAAAAAAATAAAATAAATTAGTCCAAAAATTCCTAAGAGCTACTTTTGTAAATGTATAACGTGCACATATTACTTTACATCTCAACAGCACTAGCAAATGACAGAAGACAGTATTATATCCTCTCTGGGAAGGTCTTTACATGCTAGCACTGATGCACTGTGGGTGACTGGCTCCAGGGCACATACGGTACTGTGAGGAAGTCAGAGACCACCTTCCATTTATTTCATTTCCAGTCAAAACGGCCAATAAATACAAGCTATTCATTTTCAGGAGATGCTTCTGATGTGATTACATGTATGATAATCCACTTGCAAAAGGAAGGTGAAAGTCAAAATAAGCTAAGTGGGAAAAAAAAATACATGCAAGACCTGATTGACCAACAAAACTGCCCCCATCAGATAAACAGAGAGGAGAAAATCAAGCTGCTTCAGATCTGAAAACATCCACAGGTGTTTCTGTCCATCCTTCCACTGTGAGAAGACGACTCAGCACTGTGGGTCTGAAAGGATGTGTAGCCGACAAGAAGAACCTCACTGAGAAAAGGAGATGGACACATCAAACAAAGAAGCTGAACAATGGACTGACCACCCCAGAGTCCAGACCTCAACACCACTGAATGTGTTTGATTACTTCAGAAAATGATCAACCAGCTTCTAAGACTGAACTTTGGAGGTGTGTCTGCAGATTCTTAGAGAAACTGAAAGGGAGTCTCCTGAAAAGAATGGAAGCTGTAATAAAGGTAAAGAGTGGACACAATAAATTTAGATGTTGAGGCTTTTTTCCTGACCCTGAAAAGTGAATAACTTGTACTTAATGGCCATTTTGACTAGAAGTGAAATAAGTGACTGACTGCACAGTACGGTACCTGGCTAGCGCCACATAGTTGTGCTATTATGTCTTAGTGCTGTTCTATTAGCTTCCACTGCCCAAATCTTATCAATGATCATTTAGAAGGCCACAGCCAAAGCTGTTCAGGTCAGCAACACAAAATCAGTGTTCTGCTTAAAATAATGCTTAAATGTTTTCTACACTTATGTTTTTATTCTATTTCAGGATGTGAGGGTTGGTGTGTGATACAGCTACTGGTCAGTGGTCAGCTTTGTTTACACTTATTGTGTGTAAAGTAATGATTTGGGAAGGAGAAGTGGATCTTAGATCAGCACAAAGCCAAGCAAATCTTTAGGTCAAACTCCAGTCACAGAGACACGGCGGTCAACACTGCAGTTTAGTGGGTTTTGTTTATGTGTTTTCTTGGTTACTCATCAAGGACATGTTAAATTAGCTGTGTTAGAGCAGAGAAACACTAAACCGAGCAGAACCAGGCCCCTCTAGGACTGCGGTTTGACACGTGACTGCAGAACCTGCAGGTCTTCGCTGAAGCTTGGTCAGGTTCTTCAAATGGCCAGCTGTAGCTTGGTCAGGTTCCTCTGGTGCATGTTGTGGTGCCGGACGAGTTCGTCAGATCTGGCAAACTTCTTCTGACAGTTTGGCCACCTGCAATTAAAGGGCTTCTCACCTGAGTGTGGAGAATGAGAGAGAAGAGCACTTCAGATTGGGTCAGGACCGTATATATGAGGTAAAGGAAGACCATTTAATGAGGAAAATCAGTAACGAGGTCAAGCATAACTTTGTAAATGAAAAATATTAAATCTTCTGTAGAAGAAGTTTCTAACATTGTCACTGTCATAAGAAAAATTTTTAATGATTTTTTAGATCCTTTGAAAATGCTGTTAAAATAAAACCTTTAATGACTAATGACTAAGAAATAATACAGAATGACTTAAATTCTTGTTACATTGACATTCATTAAATTTGAGGATGGTTTTTAGGGACACGGCAATATAGAATTGCAGGGTTGTTGCTAAGTGATAACACCTCACTGTGTCTCAATACCAATATTAATATCTATCTATCTATCTATCTATCTATGTATCTATCTATGTATCTATCTGTCTGTCTGTCTATTTATTTGTATTTAAAATAGGTTTACACTATAATCTATATATGAAGTACATTTACTGTAAAATAAGTTAAAATACTAAAGATGGGTCATTGTTAAATCTTACACGTAACACAACTACGTTAGACAATTCACCAGAGAAATACTGTGAAACTCATAAAACTACATTATTTTATGTAAATATTTTACATTTTTTGCAGGCACCCTTATCTAACACTGTTCATAACAGTTAGTGTGACTCCTTGTCAAGGACTCTTATTATGACATTCTCTTTGTTTGTATAGCAGTATATGAAAAAAAGTCAATTTAAGTCAATTTTAGAAGTAAATCTTCCCAATTATTGGCAAATAATAAATATGTCAGTTATAAGTTATAGTCACCTATAAATAAAGTTACCATTTTGGTTGTAAAATGGCCCAAGACCATGTTTATAGCTCCACCTCCTTCCAATCTAAGATCCTATCAATTTCCATTTCTACGTTCTCTTTTCCTGTGACAAAGTCTTCACACCCCACCACCACCTCCTCCCTGTTCCTCAGTCCACTCTCAGTCCAGTCTCTTTTCATCAAAAAGCGAGGTCCGGCCTTCTAGCTCGAAGCTGAGAGCGCCCAGAACTCCCGCAAAAGTTCTCAAAGTTCTTTGAAGGCATGGTCCGAACTCGCAAGAAGGTTTTCTTATGACAGTGACGATTGATTCTTCACTACATGGTTCATAAATAACATATGACCTCTTAGATAATAAAAAGAGAGGATATAGAGCAAGATTTGAAAAAATAAAAGTTTTACGCACTTGTTTTACCTGTATGAGTCCGGGTGTGGGTCTTAAGATGGTCTGACCGTGAGAACTTTCTCTGACATGTCTCACACTGGAAAGGTTTAACACCTACGTGCACACACACACACATATAGACACAGACACACACACACAAAGAGAGAGAGAGTGTAGGCTACAATAGAGGCCAGGAGGGAATCTCCTATAAGAGGAGTCAGACTTACAGAGGAGTATTATATCGCATGGTAGTATTACAGAGTGCAGAACTGGCTGATCAGACCGTGTGCCCTGCCAGCTCTGGCTTGTTGTAATACATCAGCAACACTTTCGCTGAGAGGCTGTGAATCAGAAAATCAACGCTGTACTGACACTTTCTCACAGTTTTAACTCACTTTGTAACATAACGATAAACTTTTGTGCTATTATGGACTGTTTTATGTCACTACGCTGGACAATATTAGGTGGCATAAGTGTAGGCCTGTTAGCTAACTGTCACCTGTATTAGCATGAATGACTCCTATATAAAATAAACAAGTGCCTTAGGAAATGAATCATTTCTGCAAATACAGCATGCTTATTATGGGCTTTTGGATTGAGGCTTTTTTTTACAGAGAACTGTGCTGGCTAGCATCTTTCCATTAGAGCAAATGGTCTAAAGAGTGAGGGAAGTAGGGTAGAAGATGGAGGAAATGGAGGATAGGACAGATAAGGATGGTTGAGTCAAACCTGTGTGTCTCCTCTGATGCCTCTTCAGCTGGTCTGACCGTGAGAATCGCCGGCCACAGTCTGTGAAGTCACACTGGTAGGGCTTCTCACCTGCAACACCACCATGGCCAGAGTTAACTCATACTTTATTGGTTCATTTACAGCTAAAATCTTACTTTGCTCCTTAACATTACCCGGACTGGGGGCAGCACACCACCACCAAGCAGAGGGGCACTGCCTGGCGCTGTAGGGGTTAAGTGCCTTGCCCAGTGACACAGCATCAAGCTGGTTGTATCTAGGATTTTGACTCAAGAAGCCCACCAATCTAGAGCTCAGTCACCAGCCAGGGATGCCCAGTCAGCTCGGGATTGAAACCAGGGACCCTCTGGTTATTGGCATTCTCTTCGTACCATTAGGCTACCTGCCACTCTGACCCTTCAGCATGACTCTTAAGCATTACTGGAGCTGGATTAGTTTTATATAGAGGTTATGTAATGTAATTTGTTGGATTTTATTGGTTGATTAGTTCAGAATAAAGTATTCCCAGGGTTCCCACAGATAGACCGAATATAGCCTGGATGTTTACATTAGCGCTTCACCACACTCAATAACAATAACAACAACAACAGTAACAACACACTGTTGATTTTGTTATTTCATTAAAGGGGATGGGGAAAGAACTATTATTACTGTACGACTGTAAAACTACACACACTAAAGATTCATAGTGCTTTAAAATCACTCCACAATTATTACTGACAGACTATAAAAATAAAAAAAATGCAGATTCATACTGGATTAAAATCACTACATAATTATTACTGTCAGATTGTAAAAACTACTTATACTGCAGATTCATACTGGATTAAAATCGCTCCACAATTATTACTGTCAGACTGTAAAACTACACACACTGCAGATTCATACTGGATTAAAATAACTCCACAATTATTACTGTCAGATTGTAAAACTACACACACTGCAGATTCATACTGGATTAAAATAACTCCACAATTATTACTGTCAGACTGTAAAAACTACACACACTGTAGATTCATACTGGATTAAAATCACAGTTCTCATCGATAATCTATTATATTAGAGTACCTGCCCACGAAAAACTGGTCTAGCTCCGGTGTGTCTAGTCCTTTAGGTCTTTTGGCCTGTTCAGATTTTGGTATCATTACTAAACGTCCTTCAGAAATTGAATCAGGTGTTAGTGGAGTGCAGTGTAGTGCTGCTCTCTGTACCTGTGTGCTTGCGGCTGTGCATCTGTAAGTGGGAGAGTTTGAAGTAGCGCTTGTTGCAGCCTGGATAGGCGCACATGAACGGCCGCTTCTCGTTGGTTTCAGAACGCACAATGGCAGGAGTGATGCCTGGTACCCTTCTCACATCCTACAACACAGATAAGTCATTTTAGCATCATTCAGCGCTATAAAGAGAGATGTACCAGTGTACAGTACCATTCAGTGGTTTTTCTTTCATAACACTCGTGGTTCAATTAAGAGAGATAAAAGATGACAGGCACACTGCTGTTGTGTGATATGCAGCTTTACTACAGTACTGTGCAAAATTTAAAAAGCCCCCTTTATTCATTTTATTTTCAGTCAGAATGTCCATTAAGTATGTTATTAATTTTGGGGAGCTAAAATTATTAGACTGTCATAAGGAAGGAGAAAGTCAAAGGAAAATATGTACAAAAGGCAATAGTTTCAAATCTGGCTACCAGACCTCAACATCACAGAGTGTGTTTGGGATTACTTGATTGTGAGAAGCAGAAAATGCAACAAACGTCTAAGACTGAACTTTGGAGATGCAGACAAATGCAGATTTTTGAATCTTTAAAAACTGAAAGCTGTTCTCCCAGAAAGAATGGAAGCTGTAATAAAGGCAGCTTATTGGCCGTTATGACCGGAAATTAACTGATTATTTGGGTGCTCTCTGATTTTTGCACAGCACTGCATACTTATGAGATGAAGCCCTTTTCTAAGGAGACATTCTTCCATGTTCACTGACCAGCTAAGGTATTTTTATGCTAATTATTAGATTAGATTAGACTCTACTTTATCGTCATTGTGCAGAGTACAGGTACAGAGCCACTGAAATGCAGTTAGCATCTAACCAGTAGTGCAAAATACAGTATTATTTACATATACAGTGCATAAGGATGGTAGATAGATAGGCAAGTATAAATATAATGTACATATATACAGAATGAGTGGAGAAAATGCAAATGTAGTTTGTATGTACTGTGAGAGCAGCATATCACTGTTGTCGAAAGAAAACCTAGTAGCTCCATTTTTGTAGTTTTTCAGTTTTTTTACACAGTTTGAAAGTACCTGTTACCTTTTACAATGTATGTAAATTCCATGATGAATAGCCTAAAAGAACTGACCCAAAATGACTGGGAAAAAAGTCTGGTTCCATTGACTTACATTAAAAGTAGAGTAGGTTTTTTCCTTCTCCTGTAAAGTTATCATTTTGGAGATATGAGGTTTTCTTCCGACAACAGCCATATGTATAAAGCATATATAAATAATCTCACAATAACCCCTTTTCTGATAAGAAAATGCTATTGATACTTTGCAGTCCTAGTTGTTGGAGAACACTAGTCCTCTGTATGTTATAAATCATGTATATTTCTTATGATTCACTTCATTATTGTTCTCACAGCTCTTTAAGCCATGTCATTGTGATCACTCCTGTGGGGACTCTGATATTTATGGATATTCAAGAACCAACTTGATTTGTCTGATGAAGAACAGTTAGCCTGAAATGTTGCTTGCCAGTGGTGTGATTTCAGATTTTGGAAGCCACCAGCATGTGCTATCAATGTTTTGGATGTGCATATGTTTTTCACTTTTCAACCCAATGTCTTGACAAGTAACTGATGAGTAAAATAAAGGTTGAATCTCCAATGACTCCTTGCTTCCCAAGTAGTGCATGATATAGATCATTAAATAGAGGGGCTTTTGGAGTTCCAAGCGTGATATAGCACGAAAAGCATGAAACCGATTTTGTCTGAAGTGTGTAGTGCTGTTGCCCCACACCTGCAACAGCACCGCAACACCAAAACAGCCCTGACGCCACCGCTGTGGTGTTTCTCATCCCTGAAAAAATATCTAGCATACCAAGAGCTCATTATTGTGGAATTAGCTGTGAAATGATCACTGGGATTCACCCATGCCTACCGATTTAGCTGCCAAATGGGAGCTGTTAGTCACGGATGTTAAGCAGACCCTATTCCAGTGCTCCCCTCCCCCAGCCCTCATTTGCCCACCGTTAGAGCCCATCTGCTCTTAATTAGCTAGCGCTTAGCATAATGGCGTTTTCTGTACGCTGGTGTGGTAATGAATAGGTGGTAAACGCTATTGATAAGTAAATTACTAAAGTGCTTTATGGCTGTACCGTCAGACTTATCTATTGACCCCATGGGAGTGATAACATAGCGACCAATGCTATGGTCCCCGCTGCAGCTCTTTGTGTTAGCGTGCTGTGCTTTTTCATGGGCTATGGAAAGGTCAGTCAAGTTCATGCTAATGTAAACTACTCTGTATTTAATATGCTGGCTCTATCATTATTGCTTGAATTGCATGTGATTCATTTGCATAACATCATTTTTACCAGAAGTGGGTCAAGTACACACTTTAAAAAGATGGCTTTTCAAATAAATGCAATAAAGGGAATAAAGGGAATGGTTCTATTTAGAACCATGAGTTTTATATAGAACCATTTCATGCTTAAATAGATCTTCAGATTGATGGAGAAGGTGTTGCATATGGTTCTATATATGCCTAAAATGGTTCTTCTATTGTTTCAAGCCTGACATCATAACAGTAGAAGAATCCCTGCTGTTCTTATATAGAGCCATCTTTCCAAAATGATTCTATATAGAACCATATACAACAATCTGAAGAACCACCACACAAAGAACTATTTAAGCATGAGATTGTTCTATATATAACTAAAGGTTCTACGTAGAACCATTCCCTTTACTAAAGAACCATTTTTTAAAGACTGTAGCCTAAAACCATTCTTAAACTATCCTTACTTCAATGTAATACTAACTTAAGTGCAAATAAAGTTAATGTCATAAAAAAGTACTAAGTCAAAAAGTTCCCTATAGCTCCTAAGGTTCCCTACAGAACTGCAGTGGAACTTCTCAGTACATTCAGCACCTACCAGCATAGAAAGTGAAGTTTGTTTTTCTCTATTCATCTCTTTTTTGTCTAAAAAAACATGCTACTGCTAAAAAAGTAAAGTATGAGCAACACTAAAACACTCGATGTGAAGGCCTACTGAGTGTGCATTCCTTTCTTCACTAATATATTTCAGGGGAAATGAAAGTATTAGCATTTGAAAAGTACAAATCTATCAAAAACGTACTTGAATCTGAGCAAACTGAAGTGGTTACCGTGCACCTCTGCTTATTATAGAAAGCACTTTCTTGCAGTGCTGCTTAATGCTTTGTGAAACGTTGAGGTTAGAGTAAAGAAGGGGAAAAAAGACAGATCTCAATGAGACACCAGCTCTGGAGAATCTCCACTAGCACTGCTTTAAGACCCATGACAGACATTAATTAAGACCTAATGATTTATTAGCATGTGCTGGCGAATGGAAACTGTAGCTTTATTGCTAATGGATTTTTTAAAAAAGTGATTCTTCTTCTCTTTTCATCCTAAACTGCCTTTTAAACGTCTCAAATGTTCTGGCAGGCTCCTGTTTCCTCTCACATAGCCCGCTCATTGCGTCATAACCTTTTCTCCTGCATTTATTTATTTATTTATTTGCTTTTGGCCGTTTATTTCACGTACTCACTCATTCAGTTGTACTTCATCACTCCTCGCTCTCGAATATATATATTTTTTTTATGCAGTGCTTTTACTTTGGTGTAGGAGCCATCTGGGATTTCCGAGCATGAGTGTACTGTAAGTGTAAGTGTTTCTGCACTCGTCTGCTCTGCCCTGCCCTGACCTTGGCCTCGTATTAGCACATAGGGGAAAACACAGAGTATCTGAGTCTGGCCTGGATTGCAGTGCACTGCAGTGTTCTTTGTTGGGACCGGTACTGACCTGTAGGCCTCTGAAGACTCCATGGGTGTGGATGCGGTACTGGGTGCTGCAGCTGTACACCATGGGCGTGCTGGGGTCATTCTCATAACCTCCTGTATGACTGCATGAGGAGGGGACAAACAATACTTTCCTTATCATTACTGAATGAATAAATTAAACCAAAACTGCTATTTCTTAATCATGAGTCAATAGTCCAGTCAACAGTTACAGTAAAAAATACATTTTTTAGCATATCGGTTAAAGGAATTGAGGATTCCACTGATTCTTTAAATTTCTACGTAATTAAATGGTTAAGATGTAACTTATCAAGTCAGAAGTGTTCACAGTGGTGGTGATAGGAACCAAACGTCTGAAGAGTTGAATGCTGTTGGGCTGTTGGTATTGTGTAGTGGGCAACACCTCTGCCTCCTATGATGTAGACTGGGGTTCAATTCCTTGCCTGGGCAAGCAACCCATATATACCAATAAGAGTCCTTGGGCAAGACTCCTAACTCTACCTTCACCTACCTGTGTAAAATGATCAAATTGTATGTCGCTCTGGTTAAGAGTGTCTGCCAAATGCCATAAATGTAAATGCCTCTAAAAGTTCCCTCAAAGAAAGTTATCACAGTGTTTCAGAATACGATGCCTGATGCCTGAGACATTGTTTATGATGGTTTTGATATAAGATAGCATATTTTCAAAAATACATTCATGGCAGAGAAGTACACCCAGGGCAAAAAAAAGCATTCAAAACAAATCTTACTTTCAAATCTACCACTACTTTTTCCATGATCAACATTGCATATAAGTAACCAGAGCACACGTGTAGGTTCACTGGACATTTGGGATAGTAATTAAAATGGCCATATTTGTGGTCTAGACATTGTGACTCCTGGTTCCTATCACCACCACTGTATAGTAATATTGCAAGGTTTATTTACCATGAGCAATTTCACAGCAAAGAACTCTATAAGATTCAACAATAATTTAGGTTTGAATTCTGCAGAAATTTTGAAAAATTGGTGGAATTCCACTTGAAAGGCACATTGAAACTTGTGAATGAAGTGTTCAAGTTGTTTCCACAGCTGCCACCAAAAAACCCCTTTACTGTATTAACAGCCTCTACTCTTCTGGGAAGGCTTTACACTAGATGTTGGAGTATTCCTGTGAGGGTTTGATTGCATTCAGCCACAAGAACACTGAGGTCAGGTACCGATGTTGGATGATCGGTTCTGGATCACTCCAACTCATCCCGAAGGCATCGGACGGAGCTCCATCACTGTGGAAAACGCAGTTCCATTGCTCCTCCGACCAGCACTGGGGGGCTTTATACCTCTCAAGCCGATGGGCATGGTGACCTTAGGCTCATGTGCAGCTGCTCCAGAGCGTCTCATTCTATTGGCAATATTTTTCTATGGAACCCGGCGTCAGGTACTTTTAAAGTAGTTTAATTCACTAATTAGAAGAGATATCTGGATACATTTGGACATATTATGTGCTTCTGGCAATAATTCTGTTGATGTAATATATTTTATTAATATAGAATTGAGATACACATTGGAATCAAGTAAATTCAGTTCATCACCTTTTTCATCATAACTGCCTTACATGTAAATACGCTCACTGGCATTTTGCCAGGAGCTGTTTACACACATTTAAACTCGTATAATGTTTGCATCATTTTTCATGAAGTGAATTTACGGCAGGTTAAGCACGCGCTGAAAAGTGAACGACACAACTTGTCAGCGCAGAATCACTCACTGAAGCAGTTGTCTATAAAGATCATCATCTTCCTCTGGTGGAGCTGTGTGAATAGCAGGCATTCTTCTGCTCCCTGTGCATTACTGCATGGGGTTTAGATGACATATATAGGGCAAGGCTGGCTATAAAACACAGAGGCTCATCTCTATAACTTATCCTGACGTTGGGGCAAATTGCTCTCTGCTCCAAAGTGCAATATATTCACCTCAACAATCCGAGGTAGGGCCAGTTAGACAGATGTATGGGGAACTCAGGGCCTCTTTCTCTCTCTCTCTGCTGAATTTATACCTGAACCTCAGTACACTGGCCCTTTCTTTGACCCTGGATTTACACAAGTTTCCTCTGTCTCAGCCCAGATATTTCCCAATTCTGTGCATTTCGAAGCAGAAATCAAGCAGAGGAGGCTGCTGTGTAACTTGGTACATTGCAAATAACTTTCAGGCTCTGTTGTTTGAGAAGGTAGTTGTTGTTCCTCTCTTCTTTTAATTTTTTCTGTATTTAGCACGTCCACCCTTTGCCTTTTTATATCTCTCATTCTTTTTGGGAAATTTGGTTTTAATTTTTAAAGACATCTGCAGAGATATTTTTCCACTCCTTCAAAAGTTAAGTACTTGAAGTTGGTTTACCATTTTCTGCTTTTCTGCTTCCAAGCAACCCAAAACACATTCAGCGATGCTGAGGTCTGAACTCTGATGTGGCCAGTTTTGGAAACCCCTGTTTTTTCACTTATTTTCCTTTGACTTTCCCCTTTCCAGATGCAAGTTATCTTATATATTATCTCCTCAGAAATATCTCCTGAAAAAGGATGAACTTGTACTCAATGGCTGGTACTTAAACTCATCAAATAAACAAAAATTAGCAGCATTTTCCCCTGTAGAAGATGTGTTCGGACTTTTGCATACAACTATCTCATACTGAACAAACAAATTCACACTATCTGAAATAGTAAGAGTTTTATTTAGTAAGTTATTTTAAGGCTCTAAAGTTAGCTAAAGGCTATATCCTGTACAGTGTGTGTGAGACCGAAGTTGTCAAGGAGCAATAAAGCTCTCTTTGTCTGTACGTGCGTAAGGCTGGCCAGACTGAAGGACAGTGCAAAATGGCATCCTGCGATAAATCTCCTCACAGTTCATTCATTCGCTGGCTCGGGCCGCGAACAGAGCGGCCTGCCCTAACGGCCAGGAACGGACAAACAAATGGATGGATGGATATTGAAGAGGCCGTGTTTGGATAGAACCAACAGCACTCGTGTAGACCCCCCCCTTCCCCCTAAGATGTCTGATTTTCCACCCACGGGACCCAGCCCAATGCGTCTCACTGAGCACATGAATCACCCCGTCACCCAGGCCTCCTCGGACCCTCTTTTCGGGGAGGTGGGAGAAGGGTCAGAGCCTGCTGTCCTGGCAGGATGGGCTGGGGGGGGGGCTGTGGATTCTCGTCCTGCTCCCAAAGGAGCAGAGGATGAGGGGCTGTCCCATTGTGCAGCCATGCACTTCCACTACTCCCCCAGTGCTGCTCCCTTCCTCCCCATGGGCCTGCTCTCGGCCCGCTCAAGGCTAAGGTGCCACGGGGGAAATATATGGCCGGATATCGTTCCCAAGCCAGACAAAACAGAGTGCACACCAACAGGACTGAGATTCAGGATGAAAAGAGAGGGCGGGGGCAAAAGGATGCAAGACATTTTATACATAAACTACAAAATATCTCATATATTTATTTATATATATTGTCAGTCCACTTTTTATTTTTCCATTTTAACCTCTACTAATGGTCTAAAATTACTAAGAATAAAATCTTGCTACAATAGAATTTTTACAATCTCTGCTTTGACAGCCTGTCACATGTATCACTGTTGATTTTTCTGTCATTAAAAAAAATCTCCAACCGTAGAAATCGTAACTTTGTAGGAGACATAAAACATTCCTATGTTTAATGTATGTCGATGAACAAGATTTTATTCAGAGTAATTTTGGACCATTTTTATTGGTCTGTCCTTCATGAACTTCACATAATTTTAAGGAGAGCTTTGCGTTTCGCGTGATACATAAAATAAAAACTATAAAAAAATATTCAAGTGACCCTTATAGCCTTTTGTCTATAGTCCACAACCATCATACAGCTTAAAACCCCATATACGACTTGACAAGCCACAAAAATATGCATTGACGTTGTCGATTAACGTAATGCATTAGCATAATAACTTTTTAATCAAATGGACGTTTCCATTGGCTGACCACAGTAGCAGTATCATATCATTATATTACAGAGATGCAAAGTTGGCACCATCTTTTTTTTCCAGCATTGAACTCTCTATTACAATGCATGACTTCACTAGAGCCTGATTTACACAACACTCCCTCAGAGCTGTTTGGCTAAAGGTCTCCACAATATCAGCGGATGCTCAAACGTGTGATTTAGTGGACAACTTGAAGGTAAATGTGCACTAATGTATGTCTGAGTGGAACTTGTTCTGTGATGGAGCAGGTCAAATTGACGTACCTCTTAATGGTGGACAGTGTGTTGACAGGGTTCCATGCCATGCACTCCAACTGGGACGCCATTTGGTATAAATTGTCACTGCTAGGAATCAAACACAGAATAAAATTTAAGCACATTTCATCTATACTGGGCACATTTGCCTTTGTGACTGTTCAGTTTAACACTTGCTCAGTGTGCATAAACATTATTGTTCAAAGGTTAACACTTAAATCTGCATACTGCTCACAGCACTGGTGTTAATTTGTCACTAAATTGGAGATTCTTGATTAATTGCTGTTATCTGTTCCCTGAACTTATGGGTTTTTTGTACCTTATCATTGAAAGAATCAGCCAATTCTGCAACAGGAAACTCACTCTTATACAGTACTGTTCAAAAGTCAGAGACCACCTTCAGTTTATTTCATTTATAGTCAAAATGGCAATTAAGTAGAAGTTACTCATTTTTCAGCATCAGGGAAAAAAGCAGGACGTATACATTTAACAGAACATTACACAGAAGCCTCAACAACTAAATATGATATATTTTTTTCAGCCTTTAATGTGTTCACCCTTTACCTTTATTACAGCCATGACATTCCTTTCTTTTCAGGCGACTCAGTTGTTCAAAAAAACCTGCAGGGATATTTTTCCACATCTCCAAAGTTCAGTCTTAGAAGTTGGTTTAACATTTTTGGCTTCTCATCATCCAAATACACACATTCAGTGATGTTGAGGTCTGGACTCAGGGGTGGTCAGTCCGTTGTTCAGCTTCTTTGTTTGATGTGTCCGTCTCCTTTTCTCAGTGAGGTTCTTCTTGACAGCTACACATCCTTTCAGACCCACAGCGCTGAGTCGTCTTCTCACAGTGGAAGGATGGACAGAAACACCTGTGGATGTTTTCAGATCTGAAGCAGCTTGATTTTCTCCTCTCTCTCAAAGATGAAAGCTTGATGGTGGCAGTTTTGGTGTCTACCAGGTCTTCCAGGTGATTGCTAGGAGGCCCATTTTCTCTGCTTTTCATCATTTTTTGAATTCCAGTTTTGGAAACTCCTGTTTTTCACTTATTTTTCTTTTGAGTTTCTCTTCCTTATGCCAGTGGATCATTTTATTATTCAATCTCCTTATAAATATCTTCTGAGAAATGAATAACTTATACTTAATGGATATTTGGAAGTTGCACAGTACTGCACATGCACTTATGCCACTCCTTCTAAAGACTGTAGAGATGACAGCTAGCAAATGTGTGTTATAATAAAACAGCACCAAATGAACTACATGACGAAAACATGAAACACCATCATGGTTGAAATCATGTAAAATTAATTTAAATGTCACCTTTAAGGTTCGAACAGAAAGGAACTTTGAATTGGACAAAAAGGGAATGCTGCGAAGCTCCGCCTCCCTCATAAATGATGATCAGAGGATTAACTAACACTTTGCAAGCATGCGGTGCTTATACTCCACAATCAGCTCCACATAAAAATTTTAATTTTGAAATTGTAACTAAGAAATATTGCGCAAGTAATCAATATTGGTTAATTGCATCCAATTTTATTTTACTTTTATTAGCAACAGTGGGGGAAACATTCTATTATTTAGATTGACAGATAACGCACCTGGAATGTGAGGAATAAAAAATGGCCCACGTTTTGACAGGGCACACACACACACACACACACACACACTCAAAAAAGGGGGTTGCCCACCAGCAGGGTGAATAGTTAACGAAACCAGGCTGAAAAGCTGCTCGGCATTATTGAGAGGTTGACTGGATGACCGTTAGTTAGTCCGCCGTTAGGTGCTTGCCCAACACGTACTTTCAGATTTATCTGCAGCACCCCTGACATCACCGTGTTTCATCACAGCAGAGGAGCTGTGTGCTGTGTGTACGGTATGCGCTGGTACCTGGTACTGTACACCTACACAACCGCTGCTTCGGCACATGCTTATGCGTCATTACTGGAACACAGCCGACACTGTAACATGCACTGAGCTTTACTGTTTATTAAAATATCAAAATCTCACTGTTGATACAGAAAGCAGAAGTGTAGTTTTGAAGGCTGACTTAAATGGAGCTTTCTTGATATTAACCCACTGCATACCTACATCACAGTATAATGCAAAAGAGACAAAGACCACTCATCATCATTTATTTGTTTTCAGTCTAAATGACCATATGCATAAGAATGTGGAAACCACCTAGTATTTTTATTTATTTATTTTTTTCACAAGACCTGGTAGCCACCAAAACTGCCCCCATCAGATAAACAGCACTTAAAGCTTCCATCTCTGAGAGAGAGGAGAAAATCAAGCTGCTTCAGATCTGAAAACATCCACAGGTGTTTCTGTCCATCCTTCCACTGTGAGAAGCAAAAAATACAACCAGCTTCTAAGACTTAAGAGGTGTGGAAAATGTTCCCTGCAAGTTTCTTAAAAAGAATGCAAGCTGTAATAAAAACAAATGGTAAACACACTAAATACTGAAAAATATACTATTTTTCATTGTTGAAGCTTCTGTGTAATTATATGTTAAATATATATTTTCTGCTTTTTTCCTGAAAAATGAACTTGTACTTATTAGGCATTTTGGCTGGAGGGTGGTCCCTGATTTTGCACAGTACGGTACATATTTGTTCCACAGGTCAAGCATATCATATTTTGACTGTAATATTCCTTGCAATGCATCAAAACACATTAGTTAATGTTTGATATGATGTTAAAAAAGGCCCTGCATAGTTTTGAACAAAATGATTTGCTGAATCACTCAAACGCCTTGAAACATCAAAACACTCAAAGAACATCTGCGACTGGTCACAGTGGTCAGAGCAAAAAATGAAGCATTGTAATTAGAGGTCCATTTGCATATTGCAGACCTTTCTGACCAGCAGGCTATTGTAAAGGCCGATATTGCAAGAGCAATTAACAAATGATATACTGTGCATCCGTAGTAGTTGCTAAATAATAAATCTTAAGATTAATAACTCAATAATAAGCCTGCAGTTTAAAAGATTAACTGCTGCACTGGTACCAGTTCACAGTGTCTAATCACAATGTTCTTTTTTTTCCCTTTTTCTGCACAAAAAAAAATCCCCACAGCAGCAGGAGAGCTTTAGTTTCTGAATGGTTTACTTTTTTTGAGTATCTGTCTTCATGCTTTATGTGCTAACAATGACTTGTCTTTGGCTCTGCTTGCGATAAGTCGACATGTTTTTTTTATTGCAACCACCTTGAAACAGCTAAAAACAGCAGCTCCAACTGAGAGGCTGTGTAAATACTGCGCTGTTGGTACCAGGCGTTCGATTGGAAAAAAGCAGTGTAGCGTTTTGATTTGAGGATTCCCAGCCCCCCGAACTCCAGCAAGATATGAGTCTGTTTATTACAACATGCTGAGCTGGAACTGGAAAACGAAGGCAGGGCTTGAGTAGAAGTGCTCTTATCAACACTATTCTGTTGTTTTGAATCTTTATGTTCCCTCTGAACTGCAAAACAACGCCGCGGAAGCATGCGAGGAATGCCACGGCTCATTTTTGGGGCTTGAAGTAAGAGGACGGCCGTCTACGGGCTGCAGAGGGAACTCCTCGGAGGACGGTTAGCCACTTATCAGAGTGAAGGAATTCAGAACTGGTCAAAGAGTGGAAACCGGTGGTGGACGGGACAGTTTATCTTGGCCTGGTACATTCTGCAATTCAGCACTCGACCTCCTGAGTTCAAGCAGCTGCCTGTACGATGGAACCCAGCATTGATGCACTACAGTGCCATCAATCAAAATCAGAAAATCAGATATTTTCATTGAAATATTTATTTTGAGTGACATACTCAAGCAGGTCAATTTCATATATATATCTCATATATACCTCATATCTCCAAAACTAATAACTTAAACATAAAAAAAACATACTTTACTTTTAATGTAAGTCAATAGAATCAGACTGTTTTTGTCCAAGGAATTTTGGGCTGTTTCTTTTGGTTCATTCATCATGAAATTTGCACACAATGTAAAGGGGAACAGGGGAATTATGTCAAAAACTGAGAAACGACAAAAATGGAGATACGAGTTTTGTTCCGACAGCAGCGATACATATATATATATATATATGTGTGTGTGTGTGTGTGTGTATATATATATAGTCTCTGTTAGAACAGAAGCTAGATTATCTTCATACTTGCTTTTTGAAAGTTACTTTTCCTCTACTCTATAGATCTAAACAAGATGGGAAATCAACTGAACTCAGGTAGCATGACTGATTTTCCTTCCTGTCTGAAACAAGCTCCTTTTCCTGCTCTTGTTACTTCACTTCCTCCTTCCTTACTACATTGGGCATGCTTAGTGGCAGCCTGACCTTCTGAAGATGGAAAAAAAGGCATGGACGGTCACCTGTTTATTTTACAAAAATCCTGAATAAGTGACGATAACTTTCTTCTTTTCTGCATGTAAAACTTGATAAATCTTACTGCAGCCTGCACAACGTCTCCGTGCTTGAATCAGCTGCTTGCTAAATCAGCATTCTAAAATTTACCAACAAGTTATTTCAGTTTTACTAAGTTTTTGCAACATATTTCCATAATAATAGCACTTCATAAACCCTGGACTAGTGTTTACATAATGTAAGCAAGGTTCTTGAAAAAGGCCTGATAGGCCTGTACTTCTCTTCTGCTCTAATGCTCTGCTCAGGGTACATCAGTAAGCTATTATGGAAGCTGTTAAACAGCTCTTGAAGAGTAAGGGAGAGCTCTTTATGAATAAGACATTAGATTGCAGTATGTTCTCAATGTGCAAAACCTGACTGTATTTTCCTCTGTGTGTATTTGGTAGGGCTGGCGGTAGGGCTTTCAGGAAATGTAGAAAAAAGCATAATCCTGGGCCCAGCTTTGAGTCTACAAACAGAGATTATTAAAATATATATCACCACTGGTGGAACTGCCCCATTTTTGTAATTTTAATATATATATATATATATATATATATATATATATATATATATATATATATATATATATTTGGATAATTTGAAAAAGCCAGATTCCGTTTACAATGGCCCAAAATTAAGTGGAATAAAATATTTTTACACTGTCTTACACTGAAGATTAGGAAAGTTTTTTCTTTCTGCTGTAAAGTTATGGAGATGTGAGGTTTTATTCCAGTAGCACAACAATAACTGCACATTTTATTGGAGGTGTAGATGTTATAAGAGCTTCTGCTGCTTCTGTGCTAAAATTGAGCTTAAGTGGAAAATTGTCTCTTGTTTGCAGCTTTGATGTCACTTTAATGCAGCTGTGATGCATTGGTGAGTATTGTATATGAGCTCTTTTTCATTTGCAGCATCACAAAATATGTTCTGTCACTTTTAAACCTCTCCTTTGACCGGTCCTGACTTCCATTCCTCATTACACATTAGTTTTACAGCACTGAGAATTTCCTAGTAGTTACCGGAGCTTTAAGATAAAAAACGTAGAATAATGAGCCATAAGGCAGTTTAAGGGCTGCCCAAAGTGGGGCCCATGAGGACATTTGATTTTGCCCACCAGAAAGTTACCCCTAACTCAATGAGAGGACAAACATACTTATATATTATACAATTGTATTTAAAAAAAATATAATAAAAACCAAATGTGGCCTGTGCAAATGTTATGGCACAATTAATAATGTATATAAATAAAGTATATAGTAGACAAAATGCACAAGAATGTCATATGTATGTCTTTGTAGAGGATGGCTTACTTTTTACAACTAAACATGTAATTTGAGCAGAGATTTGTATATATAACTCTATATAATTTCTTATTTTCCGTTTAAATTTGTATTTTAGTAATAAAATATAGTGTAATGTTACAAAATTTTAAAAAGCTTTACATCCTTTATTCTATACTGTTTGCCTTTTTGGTCCATGACCCACCATTAAACTTTATTCCCCAAAACAAAAAGTTTGTGCACCCCTGACCGAGAGTTTAAGGGTTTATAAGTAGAAGCTGTGGCTGGCAACCTCTTTACTACTCTCTGGAAACCTATAAACATTTATTAGGTAGAAAAAAAAAATGGATTCAGCAGGCAGGAGTGAGGCTGCCAGGCTTAGGACAGTACCTGTTGTAAGGGTTTCTCAGCAGCAGCGCTTGGCTCCCCGTACAGCTGTCCGATGGCGTGTGGCAACCATAAACAGGTGGAGGAACGGGATACTGCTGCTCACCTTAACACAAGACACGCAGCCGTAACAAGAAATAAGAAATCCACAATAGCAGCACCCAAAGCCCCAATACACACACTGCACACATTTATTATAGCCGAAAATATGCTGGCGACTTCAAACCGAGGCACTTCTACGCCTGCCTTGGCCTGGAGAATAACATTACAACAGATAATACAGCTCAGTCAATAGTACAATTCACTTAGGGGATTTTTATCTTAATCGTTTTTAACAATGTCAAATTTCCAGGCCACTCCCGCTGAAGGCGCCAGCTCTTGGAAAATACTCTTAATTTAGAAAGTCAGTCTTTTGTTTTCACTTTTGTCCCCCTAACTAATGAGAACGAGCCCTTTGTGCACACTTTGTATGTCTTAAGTCTCGCATGGAAAAAAAACCCTCTGCCTGGACGCTTCAAGTATCATAACTTTGCGGCTCTAATGAAACGCTTGAGCAAGCATGTGTATGTGTGGTGAAGTAGGTCTTAGAGAGGGGGGATCTGAGAATGGAGAGAAGCAGTCGAGTCCACTCCGCAGTTATGAAAACAACAGCCTCACTCTCTTTGAAGCCATAAAGCACGCCGACCCCTCGTTCGCTCTTTCAGAGTGCAAATGAGGGATCGGTGCCTTGGCTGGACCAAAGGCCTCTTATTGTGAATTGGTCCCCTGGCAGTTCTAAACATTCCAAAAAGGCTCTTGCAGTGCAATCAGCTTGGTGGGCCCAGGAAGGATTTACGGCGGCAAAAATGAAGAGCAAATGGCCCGATAAGGTGTTTACCTATGTTTTAACACAGCGACAAGCAGTAGAGAGGAGAGGTTGATGAAATAAGAGACACACTGATTTACTGTTCAAGGATGGGGTCTGTATGCAACTTGACCTTGGACTGATTTGTACAGAGGCTGCCCTTTGACTCCAGAGAGAGGGAAAAACACTCAGGCGCTCGGAGAGTATGTGCTGAAGTGGGCTACGGAGATACATGCAGATGAGCTGAAACTCATAATGCGTTCTGTGATGTGTGCAGGATTTACCCATGTTGCTTTGCTGTGGGATGGGGTCTTCGTGTTTGAAGGGGTGGTTGGGGTACTGGGAGGCGTGGTGGGACGGCGTGTGTCCATAGTTGGTGGCTCCGTCAAAAGCAACCGCGCCGTAACCTGGAAGGGGTGCAGACGTTGGCATGATGAAGTGAGAATGTGTAAGAAATAAGCTGCCTTTATTTAGAGTGACCAGAGTCCACAATTCACAGTGTAATATTGGAGATCTGACAAATTCACACACGGTGGAGATGAGAATACCTAATTATAATATTCAAGAGGTCCTCCTGTAAATATACATTTTAATATCATGCATTTGTACTGTGTAAATATGACTAGTATGTGTAAATGTGTCAGTTTGTATTCTGCTACTTTAAAAAAACGACCATAAAGAGTTCTTTAAGCAACAGCATAGAACAGGGCTGCTCAAAGTTGGCCCAGGAGGACGTTGGATTTTGGCCCGACAGAAAGCTAACCCAACCCCACCCCCTCATCCAATGAGAGAATGAGAGAAAATAAATATATTTTTAAAGTAATATACTGTATACTATACAATATAACTAATTAAATTCTTATATTACTTTTAAAACTAAAAGTACCTTTAAAAGTACTTTTATGTATTTTAGTTACAAAATATAGTGTAGTTATTAAATGAAAAAATAAAAATATTATATATATTGTACATTTAAATGTATTTAATAACTGACACTATATTTCGTAACTAATATATATGTAATATTACATTTTTTATACCATGTTTACTTTTTCATTAGGTGTCTATCTATCAATCTATCTATCTATCTATCTATCTACATATCTATCTATCTACAGTTGAATGCAAAGGTTTGGACACCCCTAGTCAAATTATGTTTTGTTGATTTTCTACTGGAAAATAGTAATAATAATATGAGACATTTTACCTTTTATTTTTTTTAATTCATTAAACTCAACAAAACATTAGTTTACTAGGGGTGTTTATACTTTTGCATACAACTCTATCTCTTATTTGCAACCAATAAAAGCTCTTCATAGAGACACTCTAGCTAATGGAGAGATAATAACCCCTCTCCTACCCTAATCACCCCTGCCCCCTAAGCCAGGGGGGTGGGGGGTGACGAGCTACGAGTGCAAACAAACGCTGGGCAGGACACCGCGGCCGAGAACAGACACCGGCTTTAGGGGTGAATCATGCCTTAGCTGACCCCAGGTCAGCCTCAGCGTCGTAAATCACCCTGCCCCAACACTGCCTTCATTAATTACACACAACCACTTTCACCTCCGAACGACTAGAAACTCATTAAAGACGACCATCCCTCTTCCCCCTTACCGGGCGAGGTGAAGGGTCCGGGTGGGCGAGAGGGTGTGTGGGTGAGAGAGGGAGAGTTAGGGGTGAGTGTGTGTGGGAGTATGTGTATAGGTAGCCTGTATATGTGGAGAAGATGCAGTTAGTCCCTCTTTAAGATGTGCCACACTGGGAGTATGGAATTGCATCGCATGATAACTCTAAAGCAGGGCTGACACAAATGTGTCTCGCAGGCCTGTAAAGACATTATTTGATTTAGCCCACCAGACATTTACCCTCACTGTACGCCCTCGGCCAATGAGAAAACAGAAATATTTTGGTACTATATTGTCACTGTCAGAACAAAACACTCTCCAAAAAAGATAGAATGGGGAAGGGAAACACATTATTAATTTTTAATGGAAGTTGATGGAGAAATAATTTATTCCAAGTAATGGACAAAAATGGAAATCTCACCTTCTTTATTTGTACATTATTTTATTTTTTTGGTCATGAAGGACTTTTATTAAAGTTTAAAGAACCTCCATGTATTGTATAGCTATTAAAATCTATCTGTCTGTCTATCTATCTATCTATCTATCTATCTATTTAGTAACAAAATATAGTGTAATATTATAAAATACATTTTTAAAACTTGATTTAAATTTTCCACCCCCCAAGACAAAAAGTTTTGGCTCCCCTGCTTAATGCTTATTTTATCATGCGTGAAGTATTTAAAATGTGTATGTATGAAACAGAAGCAATATCATCTGAGGATTGTTTGGCACAACAGTGGCAACACTTAAACCTGACGGGCAGTTTTCAGTCCCCTCAGGCGGCGCCAAGACTAGGGGCAGGAGGGTGTTCAGGTCATGGACGTCCGGACCTTTCGCCAGGGACGGCAGCTTTAGGAGTGTTCAGGAGGCAATACAGGGGTGATATGAGCGCTTATATGAATATGAGTAAATAATATCACCATTGAATGTAGTCTAAGATACAGCAGAAGTGCTGCTGTGTTATGCCTGTTAATGTTCTTTTTTTTCCAAGCAACAATAAACAACATTATTTTGGGGAAACAAGGCCTACAATCCACTTTCAACTGCTCTACCAATTTCTATATTTGAATTACACAAATATCTACATTTTATCCCTTTAAAATCCCAGGCTTATTATGTGCTAATGCGTATTATTTAGTAACGTCATGGACGACATTACAAAGTGACATCGTTCTTAGGTTATAGACGTGTTATAAAAGTTTGGGCCATCATTTAAGGAGTTAAAGGGAGTTTTGTGACCCAGTTTGCACATTTCACATGACAAACACATTACGTTCACTATGACTTCCAGCGTCTTTATCGAAGGATAAAAAAAGAGAGTGCACGGCTGTTGTGTGGATTTCATGTGCTCTATTACTCATTTCAACTCTGCAAGGCTTGTAACAGCAGAAATATAAAGCACTATTTGCTTTATCCTCTTTTACCTGCTTGTGCCTACAGTGTATCATGTATTTAGTAAGGAGATTTTAGAGCTGTCAACATTCATCCTCATTTACTACTTTAATATTAAATGAAAAATCGACTTTTCTCAGTTATTCCTACCTTTAAGATGACTTGGTGTCTAAAATACAGCAGGAGTGCTGTCGCTGCTGTGTTTAATACCCATTAATGTCATTTTCTCCAATACATTTGTAAGTAAAATGTAAAGACTTGATTTATCCCTCTTTACCTGCTTGTGCCTAGCTGTGTACTGTGCGTCGATAAATGAAAATTTTATAAAAATTTGCAGATAAAAGGCATGGATATGTTTTAAATCATGTGCATAAGCCCATTTTAAACAGCTGCGAGAGGCAGATGTTAAGACTTCCACTATATCTAAAGTGATGTGAGGAAAAGTGTGTATTAAAATATAAGCAAAAGGGAAATTATGTGGCAGTCTGAATGTTTGTGCATTTGTGTGTGATGTATATGCAATCCTGCAAGCATGTATTTCATACTATTTCATAATAATATTGCAGGTTTGTTAACACATTAGATTACATTTTACATTACAGTTTTTTATAGTACGCAGTGTTTAAAAAGCAGTAATGTAAACTGACTGGATGGTACTGTTATGCTATATTACCGGCTCAATGAATCGAGCAAAATTGTAAAAACTAATTCATCTCTTCATAATGTGTGATTATGTTTTAGTTGTGAATTTTGCATTTTGGAAATATATATATTTATATCAGCAAATGATGGTTTCTATAAATAGACCAAGCTTTACTATTAACACATGAGAACGATTTTCTTTGCTACAAGAGAATCATTACATTCACAGGGGCTAATATTATGTCTGCGGCTCTGAGGGTTGGTTCTTCAGATGTGCTCACTTTCTCTTTTAAATTGCTTGTGTTGACTTGAATCTGACTGTCTAAGTGAACAAATTGAACGCATGCTGGTTAAGTATCATGCATGTGGGATTTAATCATTTTTCTAAAGCTCTGAAGCTTTTTTCTAAGTATGATCCATCACTGTGGGTGGAAAAAGTGTTTTTCTCGCTGCACTCCCAAACTTTTATCAACACTCCCCATTACCAAAAGCAACACGCTTGATGGTCTTAAATAAAGTTAAACATTAATCACTCACACACATCACATTTCTGCTTTGTGTGATGCAGATCTATCCGCGAGAGGATTGTGAGTATTTTGCAGAATATCTCTGTTCAGATTTCAGATTTTTAATCTCATTTTTTGTGTATTTCCCAATGCTCCTTTTCCATGTGTGGTCAGAGGCAAATATGGCAATAAACGGATAGAACTGGAATTATGATGTGCAAATTTGGTCAATGGATTCTATTTATAGTTATTTATAGACAAGATAAAATCCAACTGACGCAATAATGCAATTTTCTTTAAGCATACAACAAGTAAAATGTGCTCAGTGAATGTAAATATGTTTAGCACCTTGTTTATATAGTCATATACTAATCATATCAAAAGTTAAACGTATAAATGTCATTTTAACCACTATATTTATGTATTTTGTCCCAAACTATTCAACACTATAGTGTTTTTTTAAAAAATAACTATTTAAAGTTTTGTCAACTAGTCAGCTAATCATAAATTAGTTGACTATATACTATTACTACATAATGTAATAAATACAATAATTACACAATAATTACAGTATCATAAAGTCAGTTTTACCATTCACCTTCATTTAATAATAAAAAAGAAATGAAAAATGAAATTTTCTCAGCTATTCTTACCATATAAAGCTGACAGACTGTAAAACAAAGGCTTATTTTAACATAAGAATATCCAACATACTAAGATGTATAATAGGGTATTTAGGAATTAAGTTTAGGCCTTCTTTGTTTAATGCTTGTGCTTTTTACTGTCTAATGAATATAGTTTATTAGTTATTCCCAAAATAACATGCAGTTACGTCACATTATGGAACCAGCGTTACAGGCCTGCAAGAACCACAGTTAAAATACTCTATCATTGCTTTTGCTTTTATCCCCATACTCATCTCAGATGAAGGCCTTGCCTCAAAGGAGCCTTGGGTATCAGTGTAACATAGTCCCTCAAAAAGGAAATTCATTGTTTAAGCTTGAATTTCACTCTATTTAATAGTAGGATCAGCAAATATAAACTACAGTAAGTGCAGTTTCAGTGAATGTGGACACACTTCAGTTTATAAGTCAAAGAGCTCCTTTGGCTCATTGTTTATGAATGTATGCTAAGCAGTATAGATAGTATGGCATGATTGCACCAAGTCATTCTTACCCTGGTTTCTGGAGCTGGCTTGGCTGTCCATGCAGTTGGACAGGTAGGGGCTGTTGCCGAACATCCTGGGCTGGCTGGCCGGCGGCTGGCTCGACGCAGGGGCCCCGAAGGCCCCGTACCTACAGGCCCCGGTGCCCGTGAACTGGCCGGAGAAGTGGACGGTGAAGGCGCTGAGGCCGCAGTGAGGGTCCTCGTGGGGGTCCGCCGAGCCCCAGCTGGGCTCCTGCTTGATGAAGGAGTGGCTGTAGGGGGCCCCGGCGTGGAAGTCCAGCACAGGTGCCCACTGAGGGGCGCTGCTGACGGGCAGCGGGCAGTTCCCGTTCCCCGCCGGCAGAGCCGGGACCGGGGACAAGAGGGTGTTGAGGTCACGGACGTCCGAACCCATGCCCTATGTTCTTCACACCTGGGCGACTGGGTCCAAAGCTGGAGAAGAGCGTTCAGAACCTCCTAGAAGCTGATGTGAATTCAGTTCGATGGCAAATCCGGGACGAAGTCAATAGTCAAGTCCAGAGAAGCCTCATCGCTGTGTCTTGAGACCGTAACAGCACTGGCTCCATGCATGAAAGTCCCAAGCAGATGGCTTTTCTTCTCAGCCTGAGATTCAGGAGAGATACAAGACAGAAAGAAACAAACAGGACGGGACTCCTCGGTGGGACGTCCCAGTGAGGGAGAGTTCTCTGAATGGAATGAGGGGAGACAGAGGGAGAGAGCAGGAGAGAGGAGGAGGAGGAGGAGGAGGAGGAGAAGAGTAGCTCCTTTGCCCCGTGTGTCTGTTTTCTTTGGAGGCCAGAAGGCTCAAATAGAGGTGAAGAGAGAGGAGCCAGGAGGAGGAGCTACAGACTGAGGAGCGCTTCATTCATTTACTCCTACATTATACTACACTCCTCCCTGCGCTCACCGCAGAAGGATTATAACTCACTGTATTCATTGTTTTAGTCTCAGTCCTCTGGCTGCCTCCACTTTTCTGTATTTTCTTTTATTTCAGAATTAAACTTTATTGTTGTATGTGTGTAAACTCATGTAAGTGGACTTGAATGGATGAAGTAAATTACCTAATAAGTAAATCTTATTGTGTCTGTGTGACCCAGATTAGAGGCCACTTTCTGTTTGGATTGCAACATTTTTTTAATTACATTGTTTTTAGCTTTTATAAACATCTCCCATTTGCTCCTGAATAAGAGTAACAGTGTCTTATCAGTGCACGACTAACTGAAAGCATCAGATTCTCTTCTGGAAAAAGCGCAACCCAGTACATACCATAAATATCCTCAAGTATGAGTTTCTGATTAGTCTGTTTAAATTAGACTGTAGATTATTTACAGTCTATTAAATAGACTGTAGATTATTTTTAGTATTTTTAACATTGACTACGTCATATGTTCATCATAAATACGGCTTAGTCATGAACGTCTGATTATTTTAATACCCGAGATTGACCCGTTTTACTCGCTAAACAGACTTAAACGAATTATAAGCGATTTAAATGGTCTGTTCTGTGTTTTTCACCTGGAATCTTCTGATGTAGCTTTTTCTGTTCTTCTTTACGTACAGCTTATTTTCAGTCTCAGTCGGATGCTGTTATATTTCACAACTGCAAATGTTTAACTGGTGTTTTATGATCTCTGAAAAATGCGAATTTTAATCGCAAGCGCTTTTAATTAAAGTCTACAGTGGCCTATTTGAGTTCGGCAGTGCTTCATTGTATTAATACTGCTCATAATAATAATAATAACAAAAATAATAATAACAAAAAGTATATATATATATATATATATATATATATTATATATATTATATATATCAGAATATGTATCCCCTGATCCCCCCCTTAAGAAGAGAACGTGAAAATGAATTTAAATTAAAATTTTACAAATTTTGTATTTAAACCTGAATTTCAATAAAATATTAAGAATAACGAAAGCGTCCCATTCTTTGGATTTTAACGATTTGCGCGTGAGCTTTTTTTCTTGATATAAAACGGTCAGAACGAGTCAGCTAATATCACTTCTACACTTCCGAATAAACAAACCAACAAACACAGAAGCAGTTTATTCACGTGAGCGCGCTGCTCGGGTACCGACCCTCAAAGCCCCCCTTCCAAAGGCTCATTAAAACCCTGCCTCCTCTCCGAAATCAACACCCAGCATTTCTTTCTGACTTTATTTCAATGGTCAGGGAGAAAAGATAATAATAATAATAATAATAATAATAATAATAATAATAATAATAATAATGGCTTCGTGGAAGATGAATGCGGTGAGGCTGGGTGGGAATAACCGTGTTTAGATAAAAGTAAGGAGTTTCTGTAAAATATTAAAGGAAGACCACAGCTGCACGCAGGTGGTCACTTCCGGATAACTGCCCTGGGTAATCGGGTAACATTCAAATAAAAATGGAAAGCATAACAGCAGCTCTGACCACAGTTTATCTTCCAGCGAGGAAGAGAGAAAAAAAAACTTTCTGTAATATAAAATTCAAAGCTGGAGGTGACTGTCCGGGTTATAGATTAGCTTACCTCACAACCAAGACCTTCTGTCTGCTTCTGCTTTACATTTTACAGCAGACTATCAGAACAGAAACACACAGATGAGCACCACGCAGTTGAGATACAGGGATGGTGTCATGTCTGAGTTGGTGATGAAGGCAGAAGGCGCGGAAAACTCAGTTCTAGGACTCAGTGAGGAGAAGAGTGCTGTCCCTCCCTCCACTCCCTCAGTCCGAGCTCCACTCCTCCTTAACCTCTGGCTTAGTGTCTGCTAGGGAGTTACACGACTGGACCTCATGGGCCTGTCCTCACTTAAAGGGTTCTGCTGTGGCCCGTAGATGTTCACACTTACATACTGCCCCCCCCCCACACACACACACAAGCGAGGGAATCAAAATAGTGCCAGTCATACAAATCAAATTTATGTAGATGGGGGATATATATATATATATATATATATATATATATATATATATATATATATATTCTAATATATCTATCTATCTATCTATCTATATATATATATATAGATATAGATATATAGAATAAATACAAATAATATTAATACAATAAGTATGTTTTTAACCATTTCCCAACCTCTCTTACTGGTATCCCAATATTATAAATTATAAAGAAGATACTTGAAGTTTTGGAAAAGAAAAAAACGCTGAAATAAAATGGAGAACACATTTTTATTTCTCTAATGAAGGTGGAATTAATTATAATATAGCACTGATGTTTCATGTATGAGTACAGCTCACTCCCAACAATGTATATCATGGAAAAAAAGAGAAATTCTTGAATGAAAACCAATATTTGTAGTGATAATCCAGTATCCAGTTTGGCTAATCAATACTTCATTAAATTAAATCAGCTGTGCTGGTGGTGGATTTGAATGAATCCATGTGATGGCTGAGGGCATCCAGGTCAATCAGTTCTGTGTTCTTATAACCAGATAATTATATGTAATTAATTTTTTTGAAAAAAAAAAAATCTTGTTACTTTTAACTGTATATCTATCTATATATATATCTATCTATCTATATATATATATATATATATATATATATATATATATGTATATATATATATATATGTCCAAAACTCTCCTTGAAGAAGCACTTTACTGCAATTTTTATTAAAGAGAATTCCACTGATTGTTCTAAAAGTCTGCAAAATTCAAACACTGAGACACAAACAATGTTATTCAATGGTTTGATGTGAAATGTTTATGTTTACAATGCAAATATGGGCATTTTCTTTACTACCTGAAACCACCAGTGAAGCTACATCTGTCCTCAGAGTTTTTATATGTAATGCGGATGATGGTTTTATTTGGGTACTATTTTGCCTTACGATGTCCTCCACGTACCTCTCCTTCATGAATGGAATCAAAATACATAAAAAGGCTATAGTAAAGTAAAGTCTCAGACGTGTATTTGTATTCCATTTTGTGCTTTCTGAGCATTTCGAGGCAATAAACTCTTCAGATGTCTGGTTCCTATATCACCACCACAGTGAACAGTTCTGACTCGGTCAAGTTTCTCTAGATTGGTGCGTTTCATCCGACCACTCGACTTTGTTTACGCTTTAACAATTTTCTTATACAGAAATGTTGAAATTCATCTTTATATCTAGCAAAAGAAAAGACATACTAGCCTTTTAATTAAAGGCACAGTGCTTAAACACTTTTGAGAGCCAATCAAGTATCCAAGTCAAATTTACTGGAGGAGTACATGCAAAAATTTGTGACCTTTTCCATTCTGAAATACATTTCCTAATAAAAGTGAGGTTGTGAGCCATGCAGTCAGTGTGTGAAGAGGCTTTCATAGATCCTGACTCAGAGGTAAAGCAGGCTACATTTTTCTGGATTTTTTTTTTTTTTTTTTTTTTTTAACCTTCTTTTTACCACACAGAAAAGTGGAAAGGTCTGAATATATATCAGCTCTCTTACATGAGTACAGGCCCAGAAAACACATGTAGCCCAGCAGAGAAGGCCCTGGACAGAAGCCCTGAGTTTTTTGAGCTTAATCACAGGAGCCAGAAACTGGTGTCCTTGAGTGTTTCTTCTCGTTTGATGTACGATGACTTTAAAGGTTATCTTCACTGCTTCTAGTCTTGCCAGCCATTTCGCTCTCATAGCAACAGTTAGCCTTACACACAAACATTGTCAGTGGAGGACGGACAAGTCCGTGTTATTTCGTATCAGAGAGGTAGCTGTTGCCATAAACTTTACACCGGAGAGAATATGAGAAACCGCTGCTTTTCATAACACAACTATTTGGATAATCACCAAATTGATGGATGGCTGCATTAACTTAAACAGTCACTTTTTCTAGTAATTTCCCAAAAGAATCCTTAACAATATGCTGGGGCAAATTCAAAAAGAAAGGACGCTGTAAAAAGGGTCATAAAGCATGTGCTGACCTGACATCGCTTTAGCCTGCCATCATTTTGCACACTGTGACCATCCTGTTACCAGTTAGCTCAGATACATCTCAATTTGTCCGGCGCTTAGGCCCCGGCTGCAGCCGGAAGTGTTGGCCTACGAGCAGGACGTGGATAAGCAGCAGCAGCAGGGCTTGTTAAATTGATGAGTTGAGATGTGCTCTTACTTCACCATCTGGAATTCTAGTCTGGGGTTCTGCTGAAAGCTGCTGACCCGGGACTCAACTCTTCAACCCGGGGAAGAAGAGCGTGAGGAGAAGAAAAAAGCCTGTCATGTCGGCAGAAGTCACTGTGTCAAAGCCCTTTATCTTGCCATCAAACTGAAGAGGCTGGAATAAAGTCCTGGAGCAGGCCTCGCTCTACACCCAGGCAGAGATCCAAAGCAAAGTCATGGTGGAACTTAACAGCTAGTCCTATGAACTAGCCTGAAAAAATGTCATTTGTTACCACAGCTTTTGCATTAACCCTCCTGGGTCACCCACAGTGTATGCGCTTCATCTTACATTTAGTTTCAGTTAAGCAAAATAACACTCAAGGTCGTGTGTTATCGAGAATAACATCATGTCTGTGATTTGGTCGTGTAGATGACACACGATTTGCGATAACACATGACCTGGGGTGTTCAATTGCTTTTATATAACAGGACTGTAAAATGAAGAAAAAGTAAAAACAGTAAAGCAAAGAAGCCCCAAACACTGTATCACATGTTCTTTTGTGTAACTGCCACATATAACCGTCAATATCAGCTCCAGCTCCGCTTTCGCCAGTTCATTCTGCATATTGCTTTCTTTCAGTCAGTCTGTAAAGTGTTTGACAGCACATCTTGTTTG